GGAAGTTGTGGTCCAGCTCATCTGGACAGTACCAGATTTGGCAAGTTTGCACTTAAAATATGGTAGTCATTAGCTCTGCATCCAAATACAGCCATTGTGTATTATGGGAATTGTTCTGGGCTGACTTGCTTCAAATACTAAGAGTGGCATTAACAGTATTTATCCTTAGTATTTTTACTTCATTCTTTGTAAATGCCAATTGTAGTCATCAGCTGCATTATGCAAAATACTCTATTTAGTGCCTTGGTTGTGTTGCAGCTATGTCCCTTGAACATGGACGTGCTCTTCCCCACCTCATCTTGGGCTTCTGCTGCAGCCTGAGGGAGCAGAGTAAACATTCCTTAATTTTTTAATTAATTTTTTAAATTTTATTTAATATTTAAGTTTATTTTAGTTTTAATTATTTTTAATGTGCAGTATGCATAAACTATAGTCCACCCCCGCAACAGTCTGAGGGACAATGAACTGGCCCCCTGTTTAAAAAGTTTGAGGACCCCTGCTCTAATGCAATGGAGCAGACCCTCAAATTGAAGGGCCAAAACTGGTCCAGTTGGGCCTCCAATCCAGCCCTCTAGGGCTCCCCAGAAGACCACATCCCCTTTGCTGATCTTCCTTGGCTCTGATTGCATGAGGGAAAAGTACTTTGCAGCTTCACCTTCCATTGCCTGCCTCCTTCCATCCTCCACCTCCCCTCCAACTTGGGATGTTTTGCTGACCTACCATTGTGCTTTTCTCAAATGAACCGTGTGCAAGAGTGGCAAGGTAGAAGGAAGCACTGCCTGCTACCCTCCATCCTTTGCCTACTAAATACCCTAACAGTGCAATAACTCAACTCTTGACCATAGCAGCTGTCCTCCATGAATTTGACTGATCCTTTAAAAATAAATAAATAAATAAATAAATAAATAAATAAATAAATAAAGTATTCATGTCTCTTCCTGGCATGAAAGGGAAAGTTTTTCCTGACACAAATGAAACACTGTCATTAAGGCATAAGTCCTCATTCATTCACATGAAAACCCAACTTTAAGATAAAAGAGGGAAGACCCAGCTTTATCTGACCATGAGTTCATTCAGCTCCCTGTAAAGACTCTCCCTGCACAAAACCCCTGTGCCTATATAATATCAGTGTGTCAGGCTTTGCCCCCACAGAAAGGGCAACTGTGCTTCAAATAGCATCTAATTCTGTGAGCATCTAATTCTAACATGTTAATAGATGCTGCCTTTAAAAAATCAAACTTTTAAAGACCTTAGAACCAAACCACCTGCCGCTACCTGACAGAAAGCTAGCAAGCTTCATACTCCCAGAAGGCTCTACCAACCCTGTAAATATCATACTACTCTACTAAAAAAAAAGGTGTTTTGTTTTGTATTATAAAGCATCATAACCATTTCTGAATCTTCACCAGTTCTGAATGGGAAATGAAATACAAAGCTTTGCATTTCCAAACCTTACTTTAGATTTGGCCATGAGACAAATTAAGTAGCTTTGAAATTTGTCCACAGCAAACTCTATTTTCTCAATTGCCAAGCTGGGATCTGATACAGACCTCTTGTTACTAACAGGAGAAATGGTCCATGGGGGACTTGAATTTGCAGCGCATACATTGGACTAACATGTCACAGTCAGGGATAATCCTGGTTGAAGATTACCAGGTTAATCAGTGACAGGGATGGAGAGAGATAGCAGGGTTTGCCTTATTCTACAATGTAGGGAAAAAGGAAAAGGGCTGCACTGGGGAACTTTGTTGTAGTTTGGCAAAACCTGGCTGGCCCAGAAAGCTTGTTGACTTTTTTTTCTATTTAATGCTGCTGCCCTCTTTTTTCTTCACTCATATTTTTATCTGCTTGTGTTCCACTGTTGTTTTATTCATAGTTTCTTTCGTAATACAAGATCATGCACCAAAATGGTGATATAAAAATCCCTCTTTTCCCTTCCTTGGAGCAAAGAAGAGGAACAGTGTGTTCAGCCTATGAAAATGTACTTCCTCATTATAAAAAATGGACAACAGTACATTAGCTGGCTGTGTGATTTCCTTCCTTTGGGCAGGCAGGCACCTGCAGGAGCTTCTTTAGAAATAGGCTAGGCTGCCTTAGAGCAGGAGTCTGGACTAGACTGAGCTAGCTTGCAACCTTAGGGGCATACTTGTATTTTCTAGACACTGGTCTTAGGGCTGAAAATATACATAACCTACCCAGTCTTCCCATACCGCACATGATTGGCACATCTTGCTAAAATTGCATAATGCAAAATAGGGCTTCCTTTTAAGAGTATTTGTTTGTAACAATTAGGCTATAAACCTGCAGGGCATAGTTACTTGGTAATTATGAGAAAGGGATGATATAGAAACATGAGAAGAGCCACACTGGATCAGACCCATCTAGTCCAGCACTTTGTACACATGGTGGTAAACCAGCTGCCCACAGGATCCCTCAAGTGGGATGGATGCAAGACCTCCTCCTTCCCAAGCTCTTCAGCAACTGCTGTATGCAAGCATGCTGCCTTTGGTAAAGGAGGCAGAACAGAGCCAGCAAGGCTAGTAGCCACTGATAGCCTCCTCCTTCGTGAATCTGCCCAATTCCCTTTTAGCCATCTAGACTGGCGGCCATCAGCACTTCCCATGGCAGTGAATGCCACAGCTTAACTATACATTGTATGAAGAAGTACTTCCTTTTATCTGTCCCAAACCTCCCACCAATCAAGATGGGCACATGCAAAGCTCCTGCAAGGAAAGTGTTTATGAAGCATGAAGCATTTAGCCTTAAACTCAGGAGCTCTTTATTTGTTTGCACACATTTCTGCAAACCACAATTTGGAACACTCCCCCATGTGTGGCTTGAATGGCAGAAACATTGGCAAGCTTTGCATGACTCTTGAAAGCACACCTACACACAAAGGCTCTCTTACTACTCTCTTGTTACTGTTCTGGTATTGTCATGTTGAAGTTATCTGTTATTTTATCCAGGCTATTGGAGCAGAAGCAGCAGTGAGGGCCCATCTAATCCGGCACTCTGTTTACACAGTGTCCAAGCAGCTGCTCATAGAAACCCATAAGCAGGACACAAATTTAGCAGTAGCCTCCTGTCTGTGTTCTCCCAGCAGCTTGATTAGTAGACTAATACTAGCCATTGCTAGTCTTATCCTCCATGAATTTGTGCAATGCTTTTGGAAGCTGTCTAACTGGTAGCTACCGCTACAGCTTGCAGCAGTGCATTCCCTAATTCAGCTGGGTCTGCACGAAGTACTTCTATTTATCCCTCTATCCCAAATCTCCCATGAATCAGGTTTATGGGATGATGCCAAGTCCCAATGTTATGAGAGACAGAGAGAAAGAGAGATAGAGAGGAGTCCTCACACCGTGCATAATTCTGCACACCTCTTTCATGTCTCCCACTACTCACCTTTTCTAAACTATCCCAAATGTTGTACCTGCTTGGTTTTAAGCTGTTAAGCTATACAGAAGCATTTTAATCAATCAATCAATCAATCAAGAGCATCCTTGCATGGCTTGGATGACTTTCTCAACCGTGTGGACAGGAGTTAATCATGTGGATCATTCCCATAGAGATGCCATCCTTCTCCCTGCAGGCTGTCGATTTTCTGATCAGCTCCACCCACACAATCAGGGCATTCAAGCATGATCCCAGGTACATGGGAGCCATGCAAGGAAAAGTGAAAAGAGTCACATTTAATGCGCCCCTCTAGCTAAATGTTCAGATCTGGACGGCCATGTTCCCATTTTTCATTACACTTGAGTTTATATACCACGCAGTATGACAATTGCATGTACTGCACATCTGCGCAGGATATTAAAGCAATCACAACAACCCACACAAGTAAGACCTTCCAGATTTGACTATCTCCATGTGAGCTTCACTATCTTTCTTCCCAAAGGGCTTTTCATTACAAATTTTGTTTCTCAGAACTCCAACTGAGATCTATGGGTTGCATTTTTATATAGTTGAACTTAAAGCATGGACCCATGAATGACTTAAGTCCCACTGATTTCCTTGGGCTTGTTCTAAGTCTGACCAACAGTCTAGACCCAAACCAATGAGCATCATTTCCAAGGAACGTTAGTGTCATTTCCATGGAAAGGTGGCTGAGGCAAGATTCAGATTTGAGGGCTGTGGTGTGGAATTCCTTGGTGGATTAGCCTGCCTAGTCTAGCAGCCTGTTTTCTGGGATTGTGGCAAACAGTGGACACAGGCAGCAGTATAATGAGGTATACTGCTTCTGAACATGGTGGCTCCATCCTGAGTATTAAGAGTTGCTAGTCCTATCTTGCTCCACACATTTTTCTAATCTTTTGATGATGATGATGATGATGATGATGATGATGATGATTTTAAAAATAGAGCAATCTCAGAGAGAGACCTGCACATGCTTCTTGAGCTCTGAAGGATGGTGGTGGTGGTGGTGGTGATGATGATGATGATGATGATGATGGGCAGCTCCTCGGCAGGTGTGCTCGGGGCTGCCTAGGAGAGGTCGGAAGCTGCCTAGGAGGGGGTGTTGCCGTCATCATCTGACAGGCTCGACGAGCCTCCCCGCGCTTGCTCTCCCTCCTTGCCCACAAATGAAAAAGCTCCGCGCAGCCGGGCACAGGGTCGAGATGCCCGCCGGAGCCTCCGGCCGCCTGCAGAGATGTTGCACTGGAATGAGGAAGTGGAGTGGCGAGGGGAGGGCCTGAGAGCGGAGCTGCCTTCTGTCGCTCTGCTGGGGCGAGGAGCAGCGGCGGCGGCACATGGAGCTGGAGAGCTCTGGCCGACTTGTCTGCATCCAGCGCCGGCCAGAGCAGGTACCGTATTCCTGCGCCGTAGCGCGCAAATCCATTTGTTGCCCCTTTTTTTCTTCCTTTCTTTTGCGTGCTTGACACTTGTGACTGGCAAAGGCGACCGCTTCCTTTCTGCACCTGTTTGAGCTCTGCTCTCTGGCTGCCGCAGCAGCAAGCAACTACTTTCCGGGAGGAGACTTTGGGTAAGGAGGAAACTCTGTGTAAGGAGTGAGGGAAAGGCGCTCGTCGCGAAGTGCGTAGACTCGGAGCAAGTGCCGAGGGTTCTTCCTTCTCGCCCAGGAGCGCCTCTGTGACCTCGGGTCTGCTGGCAAATCAATATCGTATCGAAGTCGATATTGCCATCGGCATCGGCAGAATCTTTCCAGAGGAAAAGGGAGACGTAAGAAAGTTTTAAAGGGACGGACTGGCCCTAAAGTTTAGGAGATGCTTGCTGAGTTTGTCTGGGGCTTTTTGTGGGTGGGGTGCGTGTGAAGTTTGCATTTGTGCTCATAGCAAATCGATCGGTTATAGTTTGGCAAATGGAGACGGGACGGTTTTGCGAGAAGCACTTCAAGTCTGCAAGAAAGAGCTAAATTGGGCAAAGGGAGAGATTCTGTACCTGCGAGGTAGACTTGAAGGGCGAGCTACAAAAACAACCCTACATTAATTCGGAGTTGATACGGGGATGGGGTTCGACTATGCAGGGAAGGAGTTTCAGAAAGCCATTAAAGAAAGCTGGAATATCAATTTTTGAAAGCATGTCAATATTACAAGAATTTCATTTTCTCCCAAAAGTTAGGATGCAGACACCCAAGCCAAGAAAAATTTGACTGAGATATATTGATTTCTGAATTTTCATTTTATAAAATAAAAGGTTGGCCTTGTGGAAAGCAGGGGTGCTCAGTAGAACATCCAGAGAAGGGGAGTAGGTGGTGATTACTACCGAGGAAGAAGCGAAAGTCTAAATTTCCAATGAGTCGCCATGCTAGGCACTCAGAGCTATACCAGTTTAGTGCAACAGTCCTGTGGCACCCTAAAGGCAAACAACTTTACGATGGTGTTTGTTGTAAGGAATTGCCTACTGTAGTGGATGGATGAATCCATGGAACCTCTTTCCACCCTTAAAAAGAAATACTATGTTTCTTCTATGATCTAGCTTAGGTCCACGGGCCATAGTAGCTGATACCCAAATGAACAATCCCAGTGTAAATCTCATTGAGTTTGATAGCATTTTCGCAATATAAATGGATATAGGGTTGCCTTAAGTAATTGTTAATGCTCTTTAGTAAGACAAAAAATCAAAGGAGCTGTAAAACTAATCCATGATTTACAAAGAGGAAAGATACCAAGTTAGATGGCTGTTACCAAAAGCTGGCATGCAGAAGAAGTTTGCTTTGGTAGTTTTTAATTTGGGAGTTCATGGGTATTTAAGGGGGAACTTTCTCATGTTCATGAGTGGTATGTACTTGAGAAAAGAATTTACACTTTTAATCTTCTAGATTAAAACTTGCTATTGAATTTCAAGAAATAAGTCCAATTTCCAGGTTTCTGAATATAACTTTAAAAGGTCTACCAAGACTAGTGTCATGAGAGAAACTCACCTTTTTAGGAGTATCTGCAAACTTTATTTCTTAATAGCAACATATTACCGATTTACAAGTAAATGCCCGTCGCTATAAACACTACCATTTACGAGGTCAGGCATGGGCTACAAAATTAGTGTTTTAACTTGAATAACTGAATACAAAAGTGGTTCAGAAGATAACACTTATTTTTAAATAGTGTCATCATAGCAAGAAGCTTATGTGCTGCACAGTACAGAGCAGCAGATCTTTCCTGATAAGTTCACATGTAGAAATGAAAATGAAGAATGAGGAAATCCACTGTACTTGTCAACAGTGTAACTTGTAATATGTCATTAGCTGCATGATATGCGTTTCTTCCATAAGGAAGCAAGGTTAACTATTGAAAACCAAGAGTAGGGAAGTATATTTAAGCTGTAATTTTCAAAAAATGTATTTAATATGAAGTAAGCCTCAATAAACACCATAGGTATTCCTTCTGTGTAAACCACAATGGATCACACTATTAGCAAACCAAACATCAGGCACAAGATCCAACCAAATATGATTGTTTTTACTGGAATTTAAATTAGATCGTATTCTAAATGGCTTCGGCGAATGGGGCGGCATAGAAGTTCCCCAAATAAATAAATAAATTCCTCTAATTATTTCAACTACTTTCTCTTTATAAAACTATACATTTTCTTAGTTCATGAAGCAGCTGCATTTAATTTTCATGATTTAATACACCCTTAATATATAGTTGATGCTAAGATGTAGTATTTTCTATGCAAATATATGTAGCTATCTGTTTGTCTTTCTCTCCTGTAGACAAATAAAAGATTCATTTCTACACACACCTATTTTGCAGTGTGTCCCATCCAACTCAGTAGGATCTATTCCTAAAAGCAAAGTTTATCGCACTGGGCTGCACCATTAAGGCATGGAAACAGTCACTACCATTTTAAATCAATGAATTTCCCAGTTGATACGGATGCTTAAGAGCTCTGGGGTTGCCTGCACCCCCAGAAGGTGTTTGTTCCAAAATGCTGAACAAGCCAGGCAAAGTCAAGCTGTTAAATAAAGTCAAGAGTTAAACAGGTGCTAAACATCCCCTTGAAATCGACTGGACATAAGACAGCAGTCCTACACAAATATAGCTGAAAGAAAATAGGATTTATTTCTGATGAAAACTCAGAGTGTGGCTTAGTTTAAAATAAATCTCACAAAAAGTCATAAACTGTTGACTGGAGTTCTAGAAATGAGTTGTGCCCTTCAGTTTAAGTCTTTGAGCTGCAGTATAACAGATGTTCCCTCTTTCTGAGGAAATATACGTCCTTATACAAAATACTAAATTCAGGTTCAAGTGACTGAATTCATCTGATTTCCTCAGATGCTTTTGCCAGGCATGTAAATTTGTTCTACTCTTGAAAATATTTTTAAATATAATTAAATAAACATAATAAATATATAATTGATAAGGAGGAGGAATTAAGATTACTTAGTTCTGTTCCTAGATCCAGAATGCTTTGCTTCAGAATAAGCAAGTTTTCTGAATTAGATCAGAAGTTGTATGAAGAAACTGAAGTTTTAACAGACATTTAAGATCAGGCACTTGCACTGAAGAGAGAAAAACATTTGTGTCATTTCAAAACATGTGCAAATGGTAATTTTAGGCTAAACACAGGCTGTATAAAAATGATTTCCAAAGATTAAATCCTACCCTTTTCAAAGAGTATGCATGAAAATCATATATGTTCAGGGAAACATATATCATACACTTAGAAATACACTTTTATTTAAGAAACTACAATATGCATTAACACCAGTGATTAAAAGAATATGTAAGAACTTTGGCAGATATTTCTACCTTCTCTGCAGACGGGGAAGTAGTTATATAGCCAGCTCCAAATATTTCATATTGAAAATGGGATAAATATTAACTTGTGCTGATGAATGAAATTCAGATTATTTACAGTTTAAACTGAAAATGCAGTTCTACTCCAAATATTTCAGATTAAATCTGAATACCTTGAGATTTAATAGACATTGGTAAAATTGTAATTTAGTTGCGTACCCCTCAGAATAGTGTTATCTTTACAGTTCTTTGTGGGACACAAGCCATGCACATTAATGGGTCCAGAGTAAAAGTAACTGTGCCCAAGACTGGAGCAAAAGAACAGCCTAAACTTGGCATAATTGTAATTTGTATGTCCAGATATCAATGTATCTAATTAACTGGCCCATTGATACCATGGTTATTGTACCAATATAGCTGATCTTTCACTAACACAATAAAATCTTTTCAGGTTTGTTAACAGACTATTTAGTTTACCTGATCAATTTCATTTAAATACAACTGCATATAACCGAAACCTAAAGATTTGGCAGCTTTTTGAAAAATGTAAAGATTTGGCAGCTGTTTGAAACAAGGAATGTAATTAATAAATACTACCACTTGCTAACAGGCAGAAGACTATCCTGATATTTTCATTTTTCATTCCTTTTGACAATCCTTTTGAAAATAAAAGAATAGAAAAGAAAATTAAGTGTGCCCTTAAATCTCAAGCCTACCAAATGACTGCTTGATCTACAACTTAAATTCATTGAAGATTACATTGCACTAAAGATTTACTAGAAATGCAACTTCATATTAGGATGACCTGTTGAAACAAACCCATTTTATCCTAAGTTGTGCAGGTATATTTGCTGTGGCTCTGGTAAAAAGGCTTTTCTGATTTTTATCCAGACGTTAGAGAACACTATTTCATTATATTTAAGAGCTAGCATGAAAACCAAGAGATAAAGTTTTGGGTAGAACTCCTCAAAGAAAAGCAGAAAACAAACATTGAAACACTTAAGCAATATTTCTTTTGGACTCATAGGCAACTTCTTTTTTCCTCTGAAGAGAGCCTGTAAAACTGCAGTGCTGATTTCTTATTGTACACAATTAAATTGCAGAGGGGCACAGGCAGTGCTGAACATTTGTCATGTGCCATCTACTCTCGGACTTTGGCTTTGAAGACTGTGGGATGCTGCAGAGTTTCAACATGTGCTTAATGGGTGATTTCTCAGCATCATAATAAGAACATGATTCAACTCTTCATTTAAATGTCTTTCATTTTTTATGTTATTTCTTTGGTTTAACTGAATCAGTTTGCAGCTGTTCTGAAATTCATGGTCATAGGAGAAACAAGTTCATAATAGTATTTGAAGGTAGTGTTGGATCATGTTTAAATTAATCAGGGAAGCAAAGTAAAATCCTCAGATACATATTGGTCAATGTAATGTATTTACAATACACGATGCTCTAAGGTAGGGATGGCCAGCTTCGTCAGCCAGGGATGGGAGTGCTCCTTCATACTGTAAAGCAGCCATGCCCAGCCTTGCGCCTTCCAGGTGTCCAGCATCAGTTCCAGCCAGCATGGTCAGTGGTCAGGAGTGCGGGAAGTTCGATTCCAAAACCTCTTTGGGGTATCAGTTTGGGGAAGGCTGACAAGAAGGTAGAAAATTGAGTATACTTCTTTTCAAGGTGCTTTGTGGGCATTTTATTCTGTTTCGACATTGAAGGAACTCCGAGTAACATTTTAGCATCAAAATGACCCTGTGAGGTAGTTTAAGTTACAAAAGAATAGTTGGCCCAAGGACACCCATGCACTCATAAGAAGGGTTTTACTGAATCAGACCATGGTGGTCCAACTGGTCCAGCACGCTTGTTTCCAGCTCCGGCTTTGCTGATGCCTCTGTGAAACACAAAATAGGCATGAAGGCAGCAGACTTCTTTTGTTAGAGAGCCCAAGCGTCTGGCTTTTAGAAGAATATTGCCTCTGAATATGGAGGTTCCTTTTGAGTAATTTGGCTAATGACCTGTTAGGGCCATGACTGAACAGAAATTTGAATCTGGTTTTCCACCGCACAAATTCACCATGAAACTTACCTGCCTTCCCCGACCTTCCAGATGTTTTTGGGCCTTAACTACCATGAGCCCCTGCCAGCATAGCAAGTGGACAGTAATTCTGGGAATTGTAGTCCCAATTATCTGGAGGGTTTCAAATTTTGCTAAGCTGCCCTGAACAATATGAAATTGTTTCCCTGTATATTAGGAAATGGCTTGGATGTCTTTTTTTGTAAGTCAGTAAGTATACCTTTGCTTACCTGTGAAATATTTTTATAGTGATCAAGTGCAACTAAATTTTAACTTATAAGCCTTGTCAGGCTGTACATTCTTGGAGGCAAACTAGCACAGATACTTTACGACCACTGTTCCCATTTGCAGACTTATTCCCCTTTGAAATAAATGGAGTTGCACTGGTTGGTGTGCAGCAATGCCAGTTGAATGCATTTGTAAGTCATGCAAAGTGTGGACACCAAATTAGGAATTTCTCAACATCGTATACTGTATTGTGCCCTGTTGGAAAATGTGTGCTCCTTTTGTCCTATAATAAACTCAAGCATCTGTTAGACAATTCCAGAGAAAGGTTCTGGGTGAGTGAGTTCCATTTCCCCTATTCTACTTCCTGTAGCCATAACATGTAACAAAACACTGTGGAAATCTGGGGCTTCATCACAGAATTTTGCACACTTCTTAAGTTTGGTGGAGCTTTTGGAGGAAAACCTACCACTGTTCTATCTTTCTAGTATCTGTTCTTTGGTGTTCAGCAGAGAGGCATAACTGGAGTTCAATAGCTCAGTGTGGTTCTTGAAATTCTCCATCCTCCAAAGAAATGGGCAACTGATTTAAAAGCTACCTTTTCCTCACTAAGAAAGGGACAGACACATGGGCAGAGTCCAGGGGTCTGCAGCCCAGGGGGCAGCCAACAGTCATGGACTGGTGCAGAAGCAAACTCCATTTTAGCCCTGTTGTTGTGATGGTGGTAGGATTTACCTTAGTTTAAAACTGAAATGTACACATTCTCAGAGTATTTTTTTTTTAAATCAGATTTGGCAAATAGTATTGTTTTCATTGTTTTAAGGAATCAGGGACATAGGAGCTGTTTTAAAAACATGGACTCTGAACTGTGAGTGGAAGAGAGAAATGTTAATTGTGTACTTAACTAGCAGAAGTATGACTAGTAACTAGAGTTTAGTTTTAATGCATTCCCAGGGGAGTTGTTGTAAGTACTTAGATCTCTTGCCTATTCCTACTGATTTATAGAGTCATTTTAAAGATGGAGAATGATCAATCCTTTTCAATAATACTGTGGACATTATGCTCTGAGAAACAGAACGAGAATGCCCAGCCCTCATTGTCTGTTGTCCCAAGCCAGAGACACCTGGGGCATGATCCAGCGGTGGTGGCAGCTGCTGCAGCAGCAACCTTCCCACACTCCAGAATTGGTGGTCTCAGAAACAGCAACCTCCAACCAAGTTGGCAAAGCACCCCAATCTGCAGTGGTTAAAAAGAGATCCAGCAAACTTCTTGACATGTATGTCACCTTAGTGGTAAAGAGCAAAACATGAAGCAGATGCTTCTGCACCTTGCTTGGCCCAGCTATTTAAGCCATGAGTGCAAAGCAGTGCTTCAACTTTCCTGCACAACATTCTATAGTGAAACTGTGACATTCTGTGACATTTTCACACAGCACTGATTGTAGCTCAGATCTGCCAGATCTTGGTCAATTTCAAACTAGTCAGCCCTCTTCATTTTGTTGGGTGCTGACTAGACAAGTGTAATTTGGGCTCAGGTACAAATGAGATAAAGGGCAGATTTATAAAAGGAAGGAGTAACCATCCTATCTTCTTTCTCTCCTTCCTGCAAACACCATAGCAATCACACTGTGTAATGGGCATGGTGAGCTGCAGTGGGGCTGCTGCAGGCACTCTTCAAAAGCCCCATGAGTGGAGAAGCTGAGCATCAGAACAGCTCACAGTTGTGTACAGAGCAGTCCTACAAGGCTACCAGCAACAAAGGATACTAGCTGGTAAGAGTGCTATTGTCAGAAAGAGAGGATATAAATGTCAACAAATGAATAAATACACATATATAAAAGGGCAGCATCCCATGCAATACTAATGTTAACACCAAGATTAGAAAATATATCTGCACCAACACTAATAGCAGGCAATATGCCCATAGCAGCACCAGTACGAGAAAACCCATCATACCAGCAAATGCTATCGGTACTGAGCCAGCAGTGCAATGTAATTTATGTTAGTGCTGGTGTCAATTTGGATACTGCCCAATATTTCCTGTTTAGTCACCTGCAAATTATCCTACAAATGACCAGCTGAATGGCTACCTACAAATATGTAAGGATGTAAGAACAGCTGTACTAGATCAGATCAAAGATCTCTCTAATCCTGGACTGTGACCAACCCAGTGCCTATGGGAAGCCCACAAGCAAATAGCAACCTTCATGCAATAAAAATGGAGCTGTCACAGATATATGTGGCTCCAGCCTTCTAGCGTCTTGTCTTTTTGTTGTCGCTGTTGTGGTTTATTACTGCATTGCCCTCAACACCTGAAAAAATCAGTCCAGAGACATATGGCTCCCATTACCCCTATTTCAGTCCTGATTCACTATTTGGGAACCAGGGATGTTGCCGTGATTGCAAAGGAGTCAACAACAGTGAATGTTATACAGTAGTGATAATATGTGTGGCCCTTGAAAAGGGACTACCTAACTGTGGAATTTCCAGGTGGCCTAGAGGTGATTCTTAACTAGTACTGGGGGGTATGTCCTTGTGCACTCAATGTCCATGTTGATCTTGCTGAATCGTTTCTTTAATCTGAGTCCCTCGAATACTTCTGTTGGGAAATAATGGGCATAGCACAGGAAGAGTCAACTTTGTTGAGTCCATGGACACACTCAGCAATTTGAGAAACTGTCCTAGGTACCACCTCAAAGAAGTGCCATGGAAGGTGCATTCCCAAGACAAGAACCTGCCCAGTTCTGTTGTTCAGTTCTTGTTTGGTTTCATGATTGCAAATTGTCTGGAGGGCATTTGCCAGTTGGCTGGTATGCAAATCTAATAAATAAATGAATGAAGTGCTGTTTTAAACCAGGTTTACTCCAAATTGATACCATCCAGATGTTCTGGACATGAACCATCTTCAGCCCCTGCCTGCATGGTCAGGAAGGATGGGAGTTGTAATCCAAAACATCTGCAGGGCACTGGATCAGGGAGGCTATTAAAGAGAAGCATAGGGCAACTGAAGTGAAACAGGAATTTACTTGCTAGCTGCAGAGGTGCAGCAAGCAAAAATTTAAGCAGCCTAATTTGAGGGAGGGTGTGTGCATGTGTATAGAGCGGGCCTTTTTTCCTTCATCAATACTGCATCCCTTCTCCTCTGGGAAGGAAATAAAGTAGTTAATTGAAATAGTGGAAAGCGCTGTCTATGTAACACCAGGTCAGGGACACCTATATTAATAATTTTAATCCACCCCATTGAAATTAATGGGATGTCACTCATTTAAAACTGGAGTTAGCAGGCACAGAAGTGCTGTAAGCAAACCAAGGCAAGCTGAAGAGGTGGTCAATATGTTGCTTGAAGCTATTTTAGCCTTTTGCCTATCTAAGTAGCAAAAAGGCATCTGGAAATTCAAGTTGATGGTTTTTTTGCCCCCCCTCCCCAATTTGAAATGCAGTCCTACAGAAATTAGGAAGCAATGTCAGAAAGTCTGAATATAGTCCCTAAAACACATTAGAATTGAATAAATCACACTGAGAGTTCTTGCCCTGACCTGGGTCTCCTATGGACGTTAGGAAACTTTGCTACTCTCTGGTCCATCTGCAGAAAGCTTATTTCTTTATCAAATGAACCACTAGTTGACTATTAGGAAGTTTCTCAGGGCAGCAGTTCTGTGTAGTGAGGCATACCTAAACCCCTTAATTGCATTGGTCTTAAGTGCCCCAACTCTCCTCAAGACTGGGTTTGTACATCAAGCTTTTACATATTCTGTCATATTTTCAGTGAAATGGAAGATTCTTCCACTTGCCCCCAACATGCTGATTTGAGTACATATGTGGGAAAATGATGGAGAGCTATGAAAATAATCAAATACATCCCCTCTGTTATCACTTACATTGGTACAAATTGTCCAAAATAGAAGGAAGTGTTCTTAATAAATAGTCTAGTAGATATTCTTGCAAGCATTCATCATGCAGTGACAACAGATGACTGTAAAACAGTTATCTGTAAATATTTGTACACTGGTGATCTCTAAAATGTACAGTTATTTAAATTTTTACCTACCCTAGAAATATTTCATGTGTACAACCTAACCCTGCATATAGATCCTTGAGAATAATTCCCAGTAAACTCCATGGGGCTTTCTTTCAGGTGAGGTCACAGAGTAGACTAAATATGCAAAAAGGAGGCAGGAATAGACTACCATCACCAGGTAGGTAGGTACCTGATGTTAAATGTAATTTGTAACAGTAACTGTCAATTCCTATAACTAACTAGGGTAGAAACAATGACTAAACATCCCCCTTTTTTCTATAGAAAAGTTCCATATAGATGTGCTAAGAGAAAGCAGGAGGAAATGAATTCATCTTAATTATACACTTTGTTTCTTACACATCTTGATAGTCCTTGGGGGAAAAACTTACTTAATGGAAATGAGAGAGTGCCTGGCCTGTTTCTCAGTTTCTGTTTCTCGAATGGACTTTTTTGTTAGTTATTATTTGTACTGTGCTAGAGAGGAAATTAAAAATAGAATTAAAATGGTTTTAAAGTAGAATCTTTCATAGGGATTGAGAGGTCTACTTTATTAAATTCCAGTAATAAAGTTAATTATCAGCTGCTGGTGGAGATATTGAACACTTTTAATTAAAGCCAGTTTGCAATTTTGGACAAGGATTTCTATCCACATCCATCCAGAAGAAGCTACATTTTCAATTCAGGGAGAATTCTGGGCTAGAGAGTTTCAGTTATTGGTTGGCCTATCAGTGAAACAAACAAAACTATCTGTGTGTGTATGTTTAGAGGCTTATGCTATACATGCACATACATTATACATGTATGTTGCTGGATCAGCCAAAGTAGGCACCTAGCCTTCCTGAGCCTGGTGCCTTTCAGGTGTTCTGAGCTACAATTTTCCACAGTCCAAGCCAGCCTAACAGATGGTCAGGATTTCCTGGGAGTCATCACCCAACTGGAGGGCACCAGTTTAGGGGAGACTGGCATCATCTTGCCTTCAGCAATAGCTAGCCAGGTCCTCTCTGGAAGCCCGGACCAGGCAGAAAAGGCAACAAGCCAGCTGCATTGTTTGTACTCCACCAAGACTCTATTCAGGACTATACCACTGCCACTGAGAGAAAGGTAGTCACATGGAATATAAGAACAATTGCTAAGAGGAAGTGAGAGAGAAAGAGTCTGCAGACAGTCAGGTTAGGCTCTGCAGGTCCTGCAATGTTTACAAGCTGCCCCTTGGGTGCCTGGGAACAGGGCCGGAAAAAGTTCAATCAAGTTAGTATAGTAGACAGCCACTGACAGACTTATTTCCCTAAGTTCCATTTAAAATCACAGAACCACTTTAAGCCCAGCACCACATCTCATGGTAGTGGATTCCACATGCCAATTATGTGATATGAGAATGAGTATTTCTTTTTATTCACCTTGAACCTCCTGTTAATGTAGCTGAGTGCCCTTGGTATCCTTATGATCAAGAAAAGAGGAAACACCTCTCTTAGTTGGCCTTCAGTCTCATAAGACTGTGATAAAAGGAAATTAAAGATACCATCTAAGATGACGCAACTGAAAAGCAGGAAATAATGGAAGGGCAATAGGTGTTTGGGGCAGAGGGATTCATCCGTCAATAGCTGTTTGATGGAAGATTTGATTGTTTTTAGTATCATTGCAGATGCAGGTTAATCTCAAACTCTGTTCCTCAGTGAAAGGTTGTTAGACTTGCTTTTTTCCTCAAGACATGACATCGGCATGACCTAGTGGGCCACCAGTCACAGGCAGTTGGCATGTGTCCACCTTGGTGGTTGTGTAAGCCTAGTTTAAGGGATACAGCCACAATGGACCAAGTCAGGACCATGGGCCATTCCTTAGCCATGGCTGAGCAGTTTTCTAGGAGAGAAAAGTAATGTAAATGTGCAAATAGAATTATTATCAGTTCTTTAAGGTCAAATAATGCCATCTGTTCTTACTGGAATTTGTTGTTAAGGGTCCTGTAAATGAAAGTGTTGTGCTGTTAAGTATTTAAAGAGTCAGTGTTTTGCTAGTATCCCTGTGGCATGGATTCTGCTGCACAACAAAGCCTACGCATGCTTAAGACCTACTATCTTCAGTGGGGCTTACTACCAATCCTGTGCTCGGTTACATGCTACTAAATCCCACTGAATAATGTGAGGCAATTCAGAAGAAATGCAGTGTAGCAATAGGATGCAAAGTTCCTTAGGTAGATGTAAGGTTGCAAAGGCAGATGCAAGTTTGGTAGATGCACTTACCAAAAGCCGTGATCCTTAAATTACTTAAGCTGGTCAAAAATCATGCCATCCCAGTCCTTCAGTACATTCAGAAATTCAAGGAAAGCTTTGCTGATGCATGAATGACTTTGCAGGGCCATTTCACACACTGAGTAGCAGCAAATGTGGGAGATGCCAGTTCTGGCTCGCTGTTGAGTTACCTATACAATATACAAGTTTGCAAATACCTGCTTGTTGCATTTTGCGAATTAGGTGTCCAAGTGCGGCTCACCTTAAAAACCTTTGTGTATGAACCCACATGTTAAGAATGTTGTGTCTCAGGGCCAAACTAGATGCAGTGGTTGCCACATAGGTAATCCTTGCATGCATGTAGGCCTTTAAGTAAATTAATAACCAGCATAGAGGGAAATCATTTTCTGGACTGAGACATTTAAACTTGTGTCCACTGCTGAGGTCCAAACGTTGATCTGTTTGCCCTGACACACACATCTATTTGCAGCAGGGAAAGCTTTCATTAGCTCCAATGGCAGCTTTTTCT